CCCCAAAACCCCAAAACCCCATATATAATACAATGATTATATGTTGAAGGAATAATGAATTTGTGATTTAAAAACATTTAAGCTTGAATATTGACAAATAATCTTTCTACTTTCATCAACTTTCCAAATCAAGATATCACCAAAAAATTAATAATTCAAATTCAACACACTTTTATACTTGGAATCATCCAGACAAGCCTAAGTTTAAAATTTTTAAGCAGCAATAGCTAATAATTGAATTTTCAGCTCATGATCCTTAGTTAATAAATTTTTATAATTAAGTATTACATTTAATCTGTTCAAAGGTGTCGAATATTTTCTTAAGATATTCAAATCCCTCTATGTAATCATAATTCCCATTTTTTAAAAATACCGATTAAATTACGTTTTCAAAAGAAACTTATTAAGAGAAAGAGATTTCGAATTATTAGCTTATGATAGTTGAATATATATTCTATTATCAATGGTTGGCTCGTCCTTTTCTCCTCCTATTTATATTGTAACCTTGAGATCATTAGCATTAAATATTATTTTGGTATTTTAATAATCCTCTACTTCTTACTTTAAATGAGCGTTATCAAAAACATCTGGGCATAGTGGTTGAATATTCATTTCTGTTGCAGAAAAATGTAGATCAACAAGAATGTAATGGAATTAGTCGCATTCCTAGATATTATAATCTTCAATGCATAAGAGTTAATTTGGACATAAAAGTTTCGACATATTGCTCATTCAAATTTTAAAATAAGTCTGCTTCATTGAAAGATTCATGCCACTACATTGTTGGTTGTAGGAAGTGGTCTATCATGAAATCGAAAGGATCCTATAAATTTTAGTGACTTATCATAGGTTTCTTTTATTTATTTAGAATTATTACTATGCTATGAGTATTAAAGGAAGATTTTCACGAGTATTTTGATTGTGATTTATCAATCAAACTCATTTCAAACACTTGGCTGATTAATCCCTCATTATTAGATCCTAATAAATAAGATAGATAATAATTAAAAGTTCATTTCTATAAAATTGATAATTTTTTTTTTCAAATTAAAGCATCTTGGGGTTTTGGGGTTTTGGGG